CAAAAGTGATATAGTGATAGCATAGTGTGATATAAAATGAAAATAATTACATGGTGATAAAAATTCTGTATTTTGTGAATCCTAACTCTGATTTCACACATCCTGACTGGGCTCATGGCTTACTTNTGTGGTAAGGTTAGTGGATGCTCACTTCTCACTTCCCATACTCTGTACAAGAGAATAGCACACAGAGGATTGAATCGAAAACATTATGGGGCAGTGGGTAGTAGGAAAGTCACTATTTCTAGAGTATCATTGATTTCAAAACAAAGCATTTTGCACTCTATGCATGTTCAAGCAGGTAGCCTGGTGATTTTATTGCATTTAAAAAATGTGTGCTGTTCGGTGTGATTCAAAGAAATCGCCAAACTGAATTGTGAATTGGGGAGAGTGGGGGGCGGGAGGAGATTCGGGATGATATTCGCTTCTTGAAGTTCCCTTACTCAATTGTATATGGGTTGCCTCCTGACTGTCTGTACAAAATTCGATAACTCCGACAGATGTTGATTGCAAGCCAGGATTCCACGAATAGAAGCGCACACACTACATATGTACCTATCCAGCCACGTCTTAACATATTATAATTATTGACGTGGATTATATTTATAACACAGCTCCTCACAAAGGATAGGTACATATGTAGTGTGGGCGCTTCTAATCGTGAAATCCTGGTAGAGCTTTGCAATGAACAAGTAGGTAGCATCCTAGAGAACCGAAGAGGGTCCAGAATCATCACCGTATATGGAAAAGTTCATGGGCTCGGTGGTGTAGAACAACCTGAAAAGCCTGCATCATAGAAGATGAATGAAGTTTGCCAAAAGTGATATAGTGATAGCATAGTGTGATATAAAATAAAATAATTACATGGTGATAAAAATTCTGTATTTTGTGAATCCTAACACTGATTTCACACATCCTGACTGGGCTCATGGCTTACTTGGTGATCAGAGAATGCCCGTACGGTATTTTCAAAAAGCTTAGGAAGTAAGAACGTTCACATTGTAATAGAGGAGTTAACGAGGAGTTCCTGGGAGTCACCGCATTTTCCAACAAATGAAGGAAGAATGGTTGAAAATCGATGACTTTCAAAAAGATAATGTTTTTGTTTCATGACATTGAATAGCTGCCTCTTCAATGGTAACGAGACATAATTGTAAATTAACTGAATACCTTATAAAACTTTTGCATAAAACCAATAACCAAGATGATAAATATGTTCTTATCAACTTACGTTTCGGCGTTATCGCCTTCTTCAGAGTTTGGAAGCCTAAAGAAATTCGCTATCATTTTTAAGGTCATCATGCACATTTGGAAAAATTAGGTCTAAGGAACCAGTTTTTTAAGTTGAATGAGGGATGGATAACGACTATCTTCAGGTTTCCAAATTCTAAAGAAGGCGATAACGCAAAGGCGTAAGTTGATAAGAACCAATGGGTAGCGACTATCTTCACGTTTCCAAGTTCTAAAGAAGGCGATAACACTAAGGCGTAAGTTGATAAGACCAATTTATCATATCAATAACTGGTTCTAAAAAAGTCTTAATCCAAAGCCATGCCAAGATTCATTGAGAGTCNCAGGTTTCCAAGCTCTAAAGAAGGCGATAACGCAAAGGCGTAAGTTGATAAGAACCAATGGGTAGCGACTATCTTCAGGTTTCCAAGTTCTAAAGAAGGCGATAACGCAAAGGCGTAAGTTGATAAGACCAATTTATCATATCAGTAACTGGTTCTAAAAAAGTCTTAATCCAAAGCCATGCCAAGATTCATTGAGAGTCGAACATGGGTAACCAAATACCTTGTTGATTGTATTCATCGTCATCTACATGTTTTTTTCGGTGCTCAGGGCAGCATACCCATAGGTGATGTAAGGCTTGTCGTTTTCCCTGCAATCCCTGAGAACCAGTCTCTTTTTTGTTTGTACCTCTGCCTTCTGTAAATATTGGTTGTGACAGCTCCTCCCATGCATGTTTATCATTGAGGCGATTGAAGTGTAGCCTGATAGCTATCATCTTTTAATTTCGGAAAAGGTAAAGAAATTTCTTGTGATTTCCAAGTCCAAGAGCCACAAGAGTCCTTTCACGGGTCAAGCAGATACCGTAATAGAAAGGACTAGAGAAGAGGAATCGAGATGGGTATCTGCTGTAAGCAACTGAGCGGTGAACAGGAAAGCAAAAGGGGCCCAGTCGTGCAAATGAACTAATAGAGAACAAAATTTATGAGAAACAGCGAGCTTTTGCTCCACTTTCTTCAAAAACTCATCGTCATCGGTTCTCTACTCAAGAAGTGTTCCAAAGTAAGAAATAAGTGATAGGCTGATAGGCCTGATGTGTTTAGCTTGGAAGATACCGAGGTTGAGAAAACCTCCCAGCCTTACTCCGCAACTCTCATCTGTGTGAATGTTGCAACATGCACAGGCAAGGGTTATCACATTGCAACTCAATTTGATAGATTTGCGGATTATCTTGGCCCAGGATCTCAGTGAGCTCCTCCAGTTATTTAGTGATTGTTACCGCAACAACACTGGTATCAACTCGAAGTGTAAGAATGTTGCTCTGCAGTTCTACCAACACCGGGGCAACTTTATCCCATGAGCCAGAATTCACTTCCGGCGTTGGCATCTCTCTTACAGTTAGCCACTGTTCCTTCCTTATTAGTGGCAAATATTATCGACTTTTATCTTAAGTGAATATTTCCCTCAGAGTTGTTCTCTAGCGAGGATGACGGAGCAGAGAGTGACAGGCACCTGAATTGCTGACCCAGCCAAACTCTGTGGACTTTTCCTGAGCGGCAATGTTATCGAGGTTTGATGATGTATAGGATACCCTACTGACGCATGCACTTCTCTCGTAGCACATGCCCAACTTTCATCCAGAACTTCACGGATTTCACCACCTTATCGATCGTGGGAAGCTCACACCGGCAAACTTTCTACCTCCAGATTCGAAACTTTTGAACCAGCATTGCAGAAGGATAAAACGTAAATAGAAGGTAAAGCCTCCGGATTCTAGCGTTGCTTTTTCAACAGAGCACATCAGGAGATGTTCGTAATAAAATATTGACCAAATAACAGAATTTCCGACTTCAGCCATTTTTTACTGTAATCAGGCAAAACGTCTTCCTTACTGGCATCTCTTATGAATCATTCGGGTGAAGTCTACAATACTTCCACAGAAAGTGTTCACAATATATTACAATCGGCAGAATAGCCTGGGATTACGAAAAGGTCGCAAGACTTGTATACCAACCTGACTTAAGCATCAACCAACAATTTCATCTAGTAAAATATAGCTTACTATATATAAACACGTAGTTAATTAATCATGCTGCCTTTCACTAAGGAAACAGTAAACACTCTATCAACTAATACGTAAGGGATCATGGATTCTGAAGAATAAAGCTTCTCAGCTTTCAGCTCTTTTCGCTTTCCCTTTTTCGTTAGTTGGAAAGTCTATCGCTTCTCTTTCAATCGTGCCACATGACCGGCCCATTCTCGTTTACGTTTATATGATACACGTTTATATGATACATTTCCTGGACAACATCAGCAAAGCCACTTCGTCTTCGCAGCTCTGTGTTTGTGATATGTTCACGAACTCTTGCAAATTCTGCGTTCCATTGATCTTTGCATCATAGCAAATTTTGCACAATATGGCCAGTGTTAATGAGATTATCCACCAACATAAATATGAGAGAACATTTACATTGAAGAAGGTAACGAACCAGGAATTTCCGCCAACAAGATTACGTTTCTCGGTAAACACCAACATGCATCAACGCAATAGTTTCAAAGTCTCTGAATTATCTATTCGCACTGAAAACAAACCATTTCAGTAAAGATGATTTATGTCCACGTAATCCCGACATTGTTAATGACGTTGTTGAATCTACAACCCCCACTTTGTAGTTGAGAAACAACAGCTATGACTTATACCGTGTGGGGGTTGCTACCCATCCATTATCAACCGAGTGAGTCGTATTTTGTCACAATTCTACGTCGCAATACACGCTTGCAGTCTCCTACATCTCTATAAAACGCTTTTCTTCAAGAGGAATTGTGACATACTTTATTACAGAGTCTAGCTCCTGCTTAGCTTCAATAAAACGGTGCTGTGTGGATGTCAGTTGCACAGTGTGGTCTGTCAACAATTAACTCACTTATTTTTGGAATTATATCTATATTGCTGAATATATTCTTGATATATGTGGTGAAAAAAAGAGCAGCTCGATTATTTGGTGCTTATAAGCATACGATGACTGCTTGTGCTGTATTCGACGCGATTTTTAGTGTTATTTATATTACATGCAGTCCAGTGAGTGTATTCAATAACTTTACGATTATTAAAGAAAACCGTTGAAACTACATGATTTATTCGAGGAACTCATTCATTGAGCTACGAATATAACAATTCAAGGTTCTCATGGGCATTCTGCTTGGTCACTACTTATAAGCACAGTTTTAAATATGGGAAGAAAAGAGAGTTCTGAAGGCAAAATTACCGATAAGTATAGATTCTAAGATTCTGTTTAAGGAATGAGCCTATGAGTCCTAGGATGGGCACCGGATGATGAACGGCTCGAAGAACGGCTTAGATAGGGGGTAATAAAGGCTTCAAAGCAGGTTTGGCTGAGGTACACACCATGGTGGGCTAGTTCTCATTGCGTTGTAGAGGGCAGAAAAAGGAAGAACATTATTAGTCATATTAACTTTTTCCTGTGCAATCTTTTTGAGTTTTTTTTACTAAGAATAGTACCTAGCGCAATCGTTACTAAGGAGCATACATTTCCATCAAAGCTAATTTCGACGAATTCGGCGAGCTTCAATAATCAAAATTCAGCTCATTTGCAGACTTTTGCGGCTACTCATGAAAAATCAGCCTTGTTGATCGTCAATGGTGGTTTTAAATTGCCAACAACATGGGGACGCTCAATGATAGTGGTTTTTGTGCTTTTGCTCTGCAATTCTATTGTCATACCACCGTGTTTATTTGTCTTTCGATATTTGCAAATCTGCAGGTCAGTTCACTGTTAAAATTGATTCTCACACTCATGATCCGATGATCGGATCCCGGATGGATACCCTCAGTCCAAGCATGCCTTCCATCCCTCCTGGTCTGAGCAGTTGCTGCCAGACTCGAGTGGTAGGGTTCAAAGATTTTTAAAGCAGTTACCAGCCGACTTCTTCATCAGCTGTCAACTACAAGTCATTGTATAAGTCACATCTTGTTCAAACGCTATCACGATTCTGAATAAAAGTCGAGTGCAGGGCTTGACTGACGCCGAAAAACTTTACCCTTTATCGTTCAGTAAGCGAATAATGCAAAAAAGAGGTTGCGACAAAAAGGGAAGTATAAACTAAATTGTCCGGTGTTAAGCCATGTTTCCAAAGTGCCTGATAAAGGCGACCTTCAGAAGGAGCACTGGAGGCATGGACAGTATGATCTGTGCTACACATAACCTACGCTCGAGCAGTGATTTCGGTGCTGTTATCCTTCCACTTTATCATGAGGATTAACCGAATGCCTAAACCGACTAAATGTGCCTAGAAAACTAGTCTACCCTAATTGGAGTTCAGTCCCCAAACTGGTGAAGCTGTGCCGCTTACTTTTCCTTCGAAAGCGCTCCAATCTATTAGTTCCAACTTTATCTAGTGAGACCACAACGGCCACTACGCAGTGCCTTTAAAAAGTGTTTTATGAGTATTATGAACAACTATGAGCAATGAAATCCGATGAGTTCGTTTTTCGACACTTCAGAACAAGTTACTTGGAACAGCATCATCAGTTGCTACGCTACTTATTCAATATACCCTTTCTTGTCTCGTCGTTGATTTGTGGAATGATATGCTTCGCTGCATGGCCTACGGATTCCGATATAGAATACTTTGCGAGCATTGCCTATGATATAAATGTAGAAGGAAACTTCACATTCTTGGTCGCATCGCTACAGGTATGCAAACTCCAGAAAGACACCTTTTTAAATTGATCATGAAGTAGTTCTTGAAATGCGATTTGTTCCGGTGCATAGGTTCATTTAGCAAAGGATGAAGGACAAACTGATTCACATTATTCACTTTGAAACTTTCCACTAGCAACACTTTGATTCATTTAGGTTTTTGTAGTAAACAACCAGCCATAGAAAGACATACATACCCATATATAGAGTAAATTGTGATATTATAAGTGTTATGAAAGTTGGCTCAAAGTTTTAATATTTTCTTCGAAATGCTAGAACTCACTTCTCTCTACTTTGAGCTCCGATCGAGCTTTTGAAATGAGCATGATCTCGGAAGTCCTTTCAGCTTTTACTTGTTTGTGATAGATCATACTTCTGAGGCAGCGGCATGTCGGGTGAGGTAGAACGTCGCAGCCAAAATCGTACACCTTTAGGCGATCCATTTATACTCAATAATAGTATTTTACCCTTGCAGCACACCTCTACATACAGTAGCGGCCAAAAGTCTTCAGTGAAACGCTTTTACAATCGTAACTTTTTTCCTAGTGAAGGGATTCAAGAAAAATTCTGCTATGTTAAACCTCACCTTGAACCAAACCAGCTAATACCTTGTGGCTTGAAAACGAGGGGATCAGATGACTACGCGCAGAGGTTCTACTACAGAAGCGACTTTTCCTGATTGCACGGTCAGCGATAAATGCTTTTTTTGCATCCCATTTGTGCTCAACATTAGTACTTGTACACTCAAGGCATGCATATAGGGGCAGTAGTCACTCTGAGAATTCGGCTGGCAGCAGCAAACATAGAGGAATCGGGCATGAAATTCACGGTCACTTCAAGAAATTTGAAGGACCCACGGCAGACGATTTCTTTGATCATCCTATGCTGGCAGGTCAGAAACTCTGTTTGCAATGCTCAGAGAAGGGGAAGACTTCGATGTGCTTTATCAGCCAAGGGCAGGTGGATCACACTACGGCCGGGGGGTGACCTTCGCCTCACTACGGGTGACATTGCTGCTGAGTTCAGCGCTAGCGATGGCACCATTGTTAGGCTGCAGACTGTAGGAAGACCCCTCGACAGTGCTGGTATTTATAGGGAGCGTCCGACCAAAACGTCGTTCATCAGTCCAAAAAGTAGGAGAGTCAGAGTGGAGTTTGCGCCCTGTCAGCTCAACGGAGGTCGACTGGCCGTAGTTTAGTTCCTCCTACAGATCCGAGCAAGTTCAATTAGTTCGAAAACGATGGTATACGGTGCGGACGACGTCCATCTGAAGAAAGGTTCAATGCAAATAAACCTTCCCCACAACAAAGCATGGTGAAGGAAGTGCCATGTTATACGGCACCTTCTCCATGAACGGAATGGGCCCTATTTTGAGAATTGACGGCATAATGACAAGGGAGTTTAACAAGAACGTGGAGGGCGACATCGTCTCGCTGTGGGCATAGCATCACATGCCAGCAAGATAGATCCTTCAGCAGGGTAACGATCCGAAGCACTTGTCAATAGTTGTGAAGACGGCCTTCAGCGTACAGCGAACCTTACTTCTGGACAGGCCAAGCCAGTTATCGAATCTGAATACTATAGAGCACATGGGGGAGAGCTCGAAAAGCGTTTTTCGAGCAAACTTTTGAAACAGTAGAGAAAAACTCGCTTAATAAGCGAAGGAGGGAACGTGATACCACCACCTACCATTTAAAAAGTAATCGACTCGGTGCCTTCTCATTGCGATGCTATCATCAAAAGTCGATGCTTTCCTATCAAATGTCGATATTTTCGATGTTTTACATGTTGCTATTCCGAAATAAAGCGGTTTTTATTAGATCGATGCTATCAGTATTTCCCGCTGTGTTTGTGTTTAATCTCTCCAACGTAGCCTTGAACAATAGCAAATTGCAGATTAATAGCAGTAAGTATTCATGCTATGCCTTTGATTAACATGCTAAAGTTTCGTATGATTTTATGAAGTAGGAAAAAAGTTACATTTGGAAAAGCCTTTCACCAAAACTTCGAGCTGCCTCGCTCCAGACCTGTTCGGCATGAATTGGTAGGGTAAACTTCAGCGGAAATCTCCCATTACTTTTATTTTCTTAGTCTTGGTATTGACTAAAGTTCAGAGTTCCATTTGAAATCAGTGCTATTGGGCAGCATGAAGTGAGCCATGCTGCTGTATGGCAAGAAGTTATACGGATCCGTATATTACAGATGGTTCCGACCAGAAAAATCGGTTGTGGTGTAGGGGCAAGAGGAGAATGTCCTGCTCGTGCACCAACCTACCACCATATCTGTGCGATTAGGATGTCAAATAGCATGCTAAAAAAATACACAAATACATGGTACAATTTGGTGACCTGACCCATCCACATCGGAATATGCATTGCGCAGTAGTGCTCCAACTAAGAAATGTTTCAGAAGGATGAGTCTTACTCTGAGGGACTCCGAAGCGACACACTGTTTGCTGGTACGATTACTGTGACTGTGATGCTGGTAGTAGCAATGGTCACGATAATTTTCTGTGCAAGACGAATTACAGCCACAGTGAAGAAAAACGCCTCCATCAGCACTCGTCGTCTTGATATGCAGCTACGCAAAACGCTATTTGCCCAGGTGAGTATAATCCAAATAGTCAAGTAGGTAAGGTACTGTAGACTTTCACAGGTGCTATCGGGGGATACCGTCAAAGCATTTTACTAGACAAAATGATAGAGAAATGGCTCCGAGATTGTTTCGTACACGTTTTTTTGATTAAAAATTACTCATAGGCACTCCACCTACATAGGTTTCACTCCCTGCTCACAAAACTGAATGCGATCCAAAGTGTGCGTCTGGCTGCGAGAGGTGAAGTATCCACACCTCCATTAACGCCGCAAGAACTCTTCTGGCTTTAGGTGTGTATGTCGACCAGCCGGTTAGGGGCCCCTTATCACACCCTATCTACCGTTTTTTAACCCGACAGTGTCCCTTGCGTTATTTTTGGGGGTCACTTACTTATACCACGGAGGAATCTCAGAAACCATTTATATAGTGAACTGGGCCTGAGAGCTACTGCTCTAAATTCAAATAAACCTTTTGACCGTACTTACGGTGATGCGTTTTGGTAATGATCAATTTCTCCGCGCAAACTGTGATGAAAGAAACACACGTATACAAACCAAAACGATACGATCCAAATCATTCAAGATACCCAAACGTTAGGCAAACTCAATGGCTACTTTCATAGTCCGCCGGCGTGCCGGCGTGCCGAGGTAGTGCTACGGGGGGGAGGAGGGAGGCAGACGGTCGGTCGACGCGGTCGCGTCGCGCCCAAGCCCCTTCGAAGGGTTGTAAATAAAGAGAGACAAGATCAAAAACCATTTGCACAAGCCCCTGGATGTTTGGTTTTTAATCTTGTTTTTCTTTGTTTGGTGACCTGACTCATCGACATCGGACGGCGCTGGCACGCCGGCACGTTGGCGAACTATGAAAGCAGCCAGTTTCATAACGTTACAACATTATACCGCACCGCTTGCATAGCGCAATTGATATCTTTCTGCTCATTTTTGAGGCTGTACTTTAATTGTTGTCGGATGGTC